AATGCCATTTCCTCAAAAACGGCTCCAAATATTTTCTTCAAACTTTTCGAACGGAGAGTGCTAATTACACTTTTAATGTAACATAAAATTCATTTTATACGAATACTTATACGAATTTAGTAAAATACACTGAAATAGGTGGCATAGGTCCTATTTTAACGGTTAAATCTGAATTTTCGAACATTTTATAATTATGAATTTTTTTCGGGGTCTTCCTACAACTACTAAATTAAAGAAATATATTTTTCCATCAAATACAATTGTTGTCCATGATTTGTTTTTTCATTAAGGACATGTACATTTTTTTAAAAATTTTAGTAGTTTTCGCGCAATATTGCGTGCAATTTGTGCAATTAAAAAAAATTTCAAGAACTAGATTTTCTCAAAAACGGCTACAAATGATTCATTAAACTAAGTAGGAATTGTGCTAATTGGACACTATGAAGTGACATTAACGCCATGTTGGTCAATTCTTTTGTTTTTTCAAAAAGGACAATAATATAATTTTTTGACTTTTCTATCACATTAATATTTTCATTAGCGGCAATTTGTTCACATTATTATATTTATGAGTACATGTGCTTTAAATAATGTCGCATAAACCCTCTCGAAAACAACAGTTTTCTCACAAAACTAGCTCAAATTGCGCAATTACAGAAACGCTCAAATGCCACATTCTCAAAAATCGCTCAACATTTTTTCTGCACACTTTCCAAACTATGGTAATCGTGGTAATCGCTCTCTTTAATATGACGTAAAATTAATATCGCGGAATTTTTTTGTTTTTTTTCGAAAATTACACAAATGTAATTGTTTTGAAAGATCTCTCACGCTATAAATTTGCACATTTCCAGCAATTTGTAAACACTATTGTATTTGTGAGTTAATGTTCTTCAAATGACTTGAAATTATGTTTTTCGAAAACTCAAAACTTTTCTGTGAAAGAGTGCTTCCAATTTCGATTTTACTGTAGCGCTTAGAGCTATTTTCTTAAAAATGACTCCAAATCGTGCAATGAAAATTGCCATTTATGACGAGGTTTTACTGTTCTTTAATATTATTAAAATAATATTTCCGTTCTACGACTAGGAAATCGGAAAATTTTAAAAACTGTTCTTGAAGCGGCGATAGATGGCAGCAGGCAAGAATAAGTGACAAGTTCGCATAGCTACCCGAGACCAAAGAAAATAGAAAACTAATACGGGAAAGTCTGAGTCTTATTGTAGCATCACTTTTTTAGTTTCAGGGGACAGTTTCAGACGTTCACAAAAAAACTAGTATTTTCACTCTACAATTAGGAAGCCGAAAAATTAAGAAAATTTAAAAAAATGTACTTTACGCGGCGGTAGATGGTAAGAGTATGTGGCAAGTGCGAGTAGCTAGCCGAGACCAAAGGAAATAGAAAAATAATTCGGGAAAGACTGTGCCATTCTGTAGCAGAACTAGTTAAAATATTTATTGGCTACCTGCTCAATTCCATTTCAGGGAGTGAAGTATAAAACTACGTAACGCAGAGGCAAGATGCCAGCATTTAATTGTGGAAATTCTGATATGTTATTGTAAAGGAATTACACGAAGACAAAAAAATGTCCTCCGTCAACTTAACAAATTTATTTAGCAAACTCAGTTTCATAATTATATATTTGCCTCAATATATTTATAAGCATTTAAATGCATCAAAATGGGGTTTTAAAAAATCGCTATGGTATCAACCTGCATTATAAGTTTCATCTTCGAGATTTGACTCAAAAGGGGTTTTAAAAATTGCAAATTTTTGTGCAAAGTGCTTCACTGGCATCTTTTTTTTTAATTAATTACAGTGGAGTACAAAATTCTTAATTTTGTTACAAAATTAATACTCGTACATAACTAGTAAAAGATTATAGGCTATTGATTTTCAATTTCTGAGAAGTGGTGGTGCCTTGATGGCAAGCTGGCTCTTCTTTGAATGTGTTTTTTATTGTTTATAGTTGAGTTTAAAAAAATATTGAGGTACATATACATATTCAGGAATGTATTCCCTCTTAAATAGGTAGAGATTCTTACTTTCTCGAAAAATATAATTTGTCGGTAGTTTCTACAACCACAAGCAACACTTTCTCAATAGTATCTCCTGAAAACTGTGACACACGATGCTGCTCTTAAAGAACAGCTACAGAATGTAACAGTACATCGAGCCGCCAACGCCTTCGCGGCCAACGCCCCCGCGGCAGCCCCCTTTTGTCGTCGCCTTCTCGAAAAAGCCGCCCATTCACCAGTCATTACAGGCTGCCGCAGCTTTGTGTTTCCCAGAAGGAAAGTAAACTCAAAATATCGATACTATATATAGACAATATTTTCAGAATGTTGGGCATTTTCAGAAATAAATTTCAACAGGCATGCGCCGATATTGGATTGGTTGAGATCAAGCCCCACTCCCACACCATTCGTTCAAATACAACGAATGGAGGGCAACCTCATAGGTGAATGGGTGGGAGACAGAGGTTCGGTGGTGAATTTTGTTGCAATGTAAATTCATTCAGATGAAACTTACGAGCGAGAGGGGTTGCGATATAGAGGTGTTGAGGTGAGTAAAGTTGCAGCTGCCACTTGGGCTCTCGAGGGAGAGAGTGGCCCCCGCTGCAGGCGGAGTGCAAGACTTGTCCTTTATCACTGCTGTTACTGTCACATCACGGAGTGATACCGCGCATTCGGACATTTGTGTGCCGCCCTCCGCATTACGATCAGCCAGGGCCGCGTGGCGCAAGGGTGGTTGCGTGGACGCCGTTCGCCAGTGCCTGGTGAGCGACTCGTGGTTGACCTGCCGGCGGGTCACTGCCGGCGCCTCCGCCTCCGCCGCGCTACCGCGGGCTACAGTCACCGCCACCATCGTCGCCAAGCCGGGGCGCAAGGGACTGCCCGCTTATGGCAAAAGACAATTCACTGGACGACTGGACAATGACCACGCAACACGTAATGTTCATGGTAGTAGTTTGTTTTTGATAATGGGCGAGCAGCGCATTGGCTACGCAACGCAGGACATTAATTTATTTTTATAAGATTTTTGAACGAAAGGAAGAATATTTCTCTTCTTAATAATGGATTCAATATCACCTTCTTCCGTTATCCCATGATCCCACGATTAGAAAGTCATGGCAAAATCAAATTTTAATCCCTCATTCCCTCTAGGAAGTGCGGGAAATTATTACAAGAAGGGGGAATTTTTTTTCTAGATCGGGAAACTTTACATAAAGGACTCATCAAATACACATTTTGAATTAACAAATTTATCATCAAATGAAAATAAATGACCCAAACATCATAAACAATGCATTCAATACCGTTATTAATTGTGTACTTGTGTGCTTTCAATAACACGTTAAATTCATTCACTAGAGTTGCAGGTAGTTTCAGACGAAGACAGGAAATTGATATTCCCTTCGTATGCCACGCCACGCTCTGCGACCAGACCCCCCCCGCCCTTCTACATGATGATGATGATGTCATGCTCTTTAGTTCTTAAAATGTGTTAACTCTTTGACCGTATGTTTCACCATAGAGCCCTGGTTGTATTCGCACTGCAAGGGTTTGGTCGCATAGCGTTGCGAGGCGTCTGTCTGGGAAAGCACTAGACGCGCCGGAGAGAGCGTTCGTTGAGTGCAGTTTGATTTCAAAATTATTTAATATATTTACATCTATATTTCTCCAATATATGGAACGTCATTAAAAAAGGTATACATTTCTACCATAATATAAGAACTTCTTTTATTATTCGAGAGTTGTTTAACGGTTCAATCTAAACACGTACAGCATCTATATAACATCTCAGAAAGCAAGAAGCCTGGACCGGTATTGGAAATTCTTAGGATTCATTCACAATGCAAACTTAAACGAATACATAACATAGCAAAACTTAGACAAGTATACAAACGTAGCAAAACTTAGCAACAAAACTTAGAAATAAGTTATAAAGTGAGATCATTCACAATGCCTTGATGTAACCGTAGAAGTAAAGCCGTAAACCTAAGAGTTTACAAGCACCAAGCTTTTACGTTACGCTTACGTCAGAATTCCACCGACGACCAATCAGAGAGCAGCATGAAAGAAACAAACACGGATTGCGTTCAGGGAGTTTATGATTATGTCATTTCATTACTGATATGTACTGAACTAGTTTGCGAACTGTTTTGATACATGTAGTGAATTCAAAGTAAGAATTTGGGTTATTTTTCTTGTGACTTTAACATGACATGGGAATAAAATAATTACGTCCCACGAATAACTCGTGAATTTGGTACAAGAGAATCTTTGTTTATAAAGTAAAGGAAATGCGAGCACTAATACAACAAATATTCGCATTTATATATAAATCGAAGAGAAAGCTAGAAGCCATCCTGGAAAGATCTTTTCACCATGCCAAAAACAAATCGACAATCGATCACGCTTCAATATCTTGAAATCGGATTAGCTCAGGCGAAACGTATGATCCAGCTTACGTTCGTCATTGTGAATGCTTATTTTTACCGGAAAATTTTACTGCTAAGTTTATATTACGTTACGTTTAAGTATGCATTGCAAATAAGGCCTTAACCGAGTAGTCTGTCAAGTCATGCAAGTTAAATTGCTCAAGTCACCGCGAATTCCCGAAAGGGTGACTGTCTGGGAACCCCGGATACTAATGGCGCTGAACCCCTGGCCGATAGGGATAAAAGGCAATGACTAAAGTGACGTAACGTAATACTGGCTTAGTATGCTCAAGGAGAATTACTCTTCGCGTCTAGCGCCAAAAGAGCTTGTGGCGCTGTTACACAAGTAACAGAAAAAAGTTCAGCTCAGATATATTTAGTGTTCAAATCTTTAAAAAATCGTTCAAATAAAACAAGAAATCATACAATTGTCGGACAAACACGAATGTATACAGGAGTGATTTTCGTTCTTCGTCAGTTGCTAAATTACCAGGGAATGAAGCATTTCGGTGCGTCATTCTCCGAATTAATTAGTGCAAGCGCGGGTATACCAACCGGCAGTGTCCATGGGGTCAGAAATGGTGAGGTCGGTGTAGTTGGCGGGAGGGTTGCTGGTGGTGAAGGGAGACACGACCACCACCTCGTGGCCGCGCTCGGCCAGCGCGCGCGCCAGCGATGACGTCACGATGAAGTGGCTGCGCCCGGGGATTGTGAAGAGCGCCAGGATGCGCGCAGCTCCCGCGCTGTCCGCCAACGCCAGCGCCAGCCCCAGCGCCATCGAGCATAGAGACGGCGTCAGCCGCATCTGAGTACGAAAAAATTGTGTTTTTTAACTAAAAGAGCTACAATAGTTCATACTTTCTTGCATTATTTCTAAATTTACAATTTTCAAAAATTCATAGAGATAAACGAAAATGAAGTTCGCGCCATTCTTTCAAAATTCCATAGTTTCTCGTGGCAATTTTTTTTTAAATCTTGGGGCAGTTTTTCAGTTTTTGTTTAATAAATTGCATTACTTTTAAGCATAAGTTAGGCAAAATCAATACTTTTTTCTTTTAAAAAATTGTACACTTTTTAAAAAGCTGATTTTTCAGAACAGAGTTTGTTTATGACAAGCATCTCTAACTATAACTTCATAGTTTTCAAATGTTAACAGTTTGCAATTTTCGAATGTACAGAAAGTACACCAATACACTAATAACATTAATCAACATTTTTTTCTGTAGCAATATAAAACACTGTTTCTAGAAGATAATTCAATAAATCTCTCAATTCAGATCGGATTTAATAATTTCTGTATTGGCGTTTTCATGTGATGATCTTTTTTGTAAATGCGTATAACTCTCTACGTATTATACGTAAATGGCAAAATGTCACGTAATAATAACAATAGATCCAAATTATACAGTAAAAAGCACAATATTATGTGGGAGAAGAAAACGGAAAGGGGAGACACATACCTAAAAATATTTCCTCCCCTATTTCCTATGATTGTCTCAGGAATGAATTTTCGTAAGATCCAGCAACAGTCAAATAAAGTTTGATGCGTTACTACCTTGAAAACTCTTTTCCATTTGAGAAATGTCCTGGTGGGACCCTGTGCCATGTTCGTGCTTAATGGTGCCGAGGTTATCCAGGAAGAAGTCCAAATGGTCATTCAAAAAACATAGTTTATGTGACTTGCTACATCCCATACGGTGGCATGATCTCAATTGTCCATGTGCAATATCGCGATAGTTTCTGCCTTACGGTTGCCTAAAATGTTTTAATAAACACTTGTGAAAGACTGCCGTGCTTTTTTCAAGATCACTCAACAAATCAATAAAACGTTCATCAGGCATTTTATAATCTAGCGTCCTATAAATACTCCTCCGTTTATTTTTGCTTTACTAATCCTTGGGCACTTCTCTCGAAAATACATGAATTCACGTGATGTTTTGTCAATGGCTTTTACAAAGTTTTTGACTAGACCCAATTTAATGGCCAGAGGAGGCAGTTGTATATTTTTGGTGTCAACAAGAGGATTGTCAACCACATTTCTCTGCCCAAGCATAAGTTCAATCCAAGCAAGCTATTTTTCTCACAATAGTTATTTTTTTTCTCTGAAGTTCCACTCTCGTAAAAAGCAGAAGCACATGCATTGCCGAGCTGCATGCCGAGCAGAATTGCAATTATCTTAATTCCGTTTCCGTCAAATATATTCCGTTTGTATTTCTCATATTTGATGTGTGAATTGTTTTAAGTTCTCATATGTCTTCAGGTTAACTGCATGAACAATCTGAACATAAGTAAATTTGTTCCCATTTCAGAGAAGTACAGCTTTCAGACTTATTTTGCTTGAATCTATTAACAAGCGTCATTCAGTTACATTGAAATCGTAGTCAAGAGTCCCATAACGGATTTGATATCATTACAAAAATATGTCACTGTTTCTTAGAGAAATATTTTGAAAAATCTACTTAGCAATCGCGAAAAGCACTTTCTTTCATACTGGCGGAAAGAAATTCCAACCTTTTAGTTGCAAAGCTAAAATCTCAGACTGTGAATCTGATAAATTTGAACCACGAACAAGATCGTTGAGATTCCCTTGAGGCGAAAAATATGGTTAATTTCATTAACAGGAGGCTTAAAATGTTGGGTAACATGGATATCCCCTCTGTCTTCTGAATATTGGACACTGCAGCATTCTCAGGAAGAAGTGGTACCAGCAATTCTTGACTGTGATATACACGCCGTAGAGCAGATGATAAATTAACATATTGCACAGTTTTCTTAATCTTAATAACGCGATTCCAGCTATTTTTGTCACCCAGAATTAAGTCTGTTGAGTAATCCGTTGGTTCTCTCTAAATGAGTGGAGCAGCAAAGGACGTCAGCTTAATATATTATCTACATACATCATTTCAAACATCTCATTAGAAATATTATTTCTTCTTTTATAAACGTAGGTATTCTCATAAATAATAAATACAAACCACAATAATGATTAATAACACATTATTGCATTTCTGTATACTTTTATTTGCTATGGTAAGTAACGAAATACTCCGCCTGGGAGGTACATGACCTTGACGTTGGTAGCGGAGCTTGAGTACCCCAGTTACACTGAGAGCTATGCCGACGGTGGCGTACCTACTAGTATGGCCTCCCTTGCCGGACAAGTCGATGGGGAGGGGTCAGATAAAGAAGTACTCCAGAAGAGGACCTCAACACCAAGAAGAGTACTTCAGAACGTAACTCCAGAAGAGGACTATGCATAGAAAACCATCAGCTTTGCGGAGATGGTGTAGAGGCTCTCTAGCTTAGTAAAGGCGGAGAAGGGTAGGCGAAGCTCTTCAGACAGCGGAAAGCTAACTCACCTAGAGGAGACAACCTCGATAAAAAAATTCAGTCTCTTCCCTGCTTGGAAGTTGTGCGAAGGGCTGGTAACCTTCCCACGTAAAAAACAATTACACTCGCAAGCTTCAAAAAAGATGTCCGGGCCGAACTTATGACGAATTTGGCAAGAAAAAAGTTAACAGATATGGAATAAAGGATATATTAAATATTGCTGCTTGAAATGTGACGGGTCTGTAAGTAAAAGAACTAGATGGGGACTAAAAGAGAAAGGAATAAATATAGCTATTATTTCATAAACAAAAAAGAAACTTAAAGGAACAAAAGACCTGGAAAATTATATATATATATATATATATTCTAGCCAACCCACCTACCTCGAACAACTTACCACCTTCACAGTAGCAGGCACAGTAGCTGCCTCCGTAGTGTTCACACATGAGACGGTGGTGTTATGGGGTTGCACAATCCCAATTACTCTGCAATTATACTCTGACAGAGCAATTATACTCTGAATTTCATACGGGCCTTCGTATAATCTGAAAAATTTCGCAAACAATTTCAATCGAGGATTTGATCTTCAACTCATCACGGGATATGCCTCCTGTCAATTGGGGTACATCAATGCTTTCTTCGTCTGGTTTAAATTTCTTAATTTGTTCTTCATCTTCCAAGATTTTACACTTAATGTCTTCACCCTGTACATCTATCTTCCTTTTCCTTAGCTCAATCTTCCTTCCTTCTTCCGCTTTCCTTACTTCTGCTTTTCTTTCCTCGTCTGCTTTCTTTTCTTCGTCTGCTTTCCTTTCTTTGTCTACTTTCCTTTCTTCTTCTGCTCTCCT